AGAAAAATATTTCTACTTATAGAATCAAGACAACCAAGTCGCGATAAATAAATTCCCAGGATGAAAACGTTTGCACAGAGATAAAGATTACGACATGAACACATTGAATTTTTACTGCATAAAAGATATGACAAAATATCCTTGAATCTGCTTCTAAGTGATTTGAATTTAATTCAAGTATGTACCTTAGAAAATGAAGAACCTTGTAATTTAAAACGTTTTCAAGTACACATTTCATAGTCTTGCTTTACCTTTGGATATGTAGAAGCAGTACAGAGAAATCGAACAAGTAATTTGTAGTGGTTTATTTTAAGTACTCGAGAAGAAAAATGTGGCTGGTATTTGCGTATGATGGCTGGTAACTAAGACACATTGGCCTTTTCTGGACTTGAATCAATTTGCAGAATGTGGTCCTCGGATTTTGCATACTCAAGTCCATCCAGAGCCCGGTGTTAGGTGTACAACTAAAACTTTCAATTTAAATTTCTTATAATGGATTATTTATCTATGGTGTCCATATTTACACAGTTGATTCACATACTTCTACTCTTACTTTGAAAAACACCTTTCGTATAACCCCTGCTATTGTATTTGTTTTGAGAACATTGGTGGTCCGAAAACTTTCTATTTGTAATTCAAGGATGTATTTTTGCCATCGGTTAAAATAATGACGGACACACGACTAAAAACAGTCCTTAGAAAATTATAATTATAAGCGTTGGTACTTGAGGTTACCTTTCCCTTGATAATATAGAAATGAGGTTGGTAAAAACTGCCACTTTGTTGTAGCCTAACCCCACTAAAATTGAACATTAAAATAAAGTACACGTATAATTTACCAATAAATAAATAAACGTGAGGATATTCTAAACCCTGAGAAAGTCTGCTTCGTTCAGTTTCCTGTTACAATTGATGTTTCCCTATTCGAAATTCTAATTCTAGGTTTATCCTACGTACCTATATGAGTTTCGTTAAAAATAATTATATGAGAGATTTTATTATCTTCAATGATTTTTGGTTTTATTACTTTAGATGTCAACGTACTATGGGTTTATTTCCGTTGGTGTAGTAAGCTAAACACCAGTATGGCGCTAGGTAGTTTTTAATGAATTTCACTCTAGCTTCGAGTTTTCACGAGTTTTCCTTTATTGATAACCAGCATATTATTAGTTGACGACTTTGAAAGACATAAATAGTTTTATTACCGTAACTTTGTAATTTTATGCAATTTAATTATTATAACCTTCACTCTTAGATAGCTAAGTTTATGTTTCAATGACTTTTTTCCTCACTTTTTTCAAGTGCGAATGCATATTCCAATTTTCAGCTTTCAAAATTGCAACGGCGTAAATATACAATGATAATACAAATTTAAAATTTGTTTAGGGTAATTTCGACTCGCATGTAAAGGAAACCGAACTAACAAAGTAATAAGCCACATGGCGAATGGCAATATTGGATATAATTACTCGACGCACCGTATATGTCGTTATCGTGAATGAGATGGACTATACCAACCCTTGTGTAGCGACCCAAAAGAAATCGCAATCAGAAATTGGTATTAACTTCGATGTCGCTGAAGTTAGATTGGGGTTCGGATTCGGATAACCAGATATTATATTATGTTGTATCAAATTTTGAATTTATCAACAAAAGCCGCATATAAGCGCCATGAAAACAAAAACCTTACACAATGACAAACGTTACCAAACTACCCCTCTTAAGTAGCTTATTCGGTATCTTTTTATAATAATTATTACTTTAGTAACAGAAGCCCCAAAAACTCAGTATAAACATAACACTTTTCCCTTTCCACCTACACATTCCGATGTTAAAGCACGAATCTACCCTTCAACGGTAAGGGTAATCCGCAATGATGTTCGTATCGGCCCGGAAAAAGTTTTATAAAATCACGCAAAAAATCAACACTTTTTGTCAAGACAGATATTGCGGATTCACATGCTAAAGGGACGTATCTATCCTTCACACATAGGGGTAAAATTGCAATGGGCTCATCCCGCCTTCATTTGTTATTTCTGATCCACAAAGTACATTAAAAATAAAAAGACCCGTGTGTCAATTTTTATTTGCGAGTAAACTAAACCCAAAATAAATTATTGAAAAGCTGTGTTTTTAGTCCGAATTTGAAACGCTTCATACTAAATACGTCACAAACCTACAACCAATCACGTAGAAGTGAGCTGGCAACCTTACGCGAGGGTCTGACGTTTGTCACATTTGACGTTTTGAGAGGGATGTTTAACTGCATCTAGCACGAAAGTGACAAGTGCCTGTGACAGATGACGCAAGTTATAAATGCCATTCTCCTGCAATATTGCCAAGTCGTTATGTCATCTGAATGGTTCTAGGAGCTGATTGGTCGGGCTTATTACGTCACAGAGCCCGCCACAATCATATCGTTTTGAATAAACCTTTAAAACCGCACATGTTCATTATTTTTTTGCTAATCAGCCTCTATTTTTAAATAAACTTTTACTGTCCAAAAAAATGTTTTATGGTTTCAGGTACACGCTTATTAAATTAGAACTGCGGAATTCAACTATACTGTAAACCCCCATTCTTGATATTAGTAACAGGCTGGAAAAACTTTAGAAAATTATGCAAAGCATAAGAAACCCTTCTGCCAAGACAAATATTGCAGATTCAAAGGCAAAAGGGACGAATTTACCCTCCAAAGTGTATTCCTGCAATTATGTTTGTAATCTGGTTAAAATGCTAGAATAAATAAAATCATACATAAAAGAAGAAACACTCAATAAACAGAAAGATATAAATCTCTACGGAAAAATGCTTTCCCACCGAAATTGATGCATAAAGTAGCGACTTCTATGACATGAGACCTTTTGGTCAAAGGTAGCTGTCCGGGTGTTTCCTGAGGGATCTCCGAGATGAGCGATGAACACGTTCGGACGGAGCATTCCCGGCCGTCTTCAAAAAGCCCTTGCATTTGTTTCACTTCATTAGAGCTTTCCTGGATTTAAGGCAGGCATATGTCAAACACGCGGCCTACCGTTCTAAAGCCTGCGGCCCTTGACGTTGTTTGCAAATTATGCAATTTAATTCTACCGTGTGTCCTATTTTGATTGAGACTGCAGTGTATTCCAGCTGCTTTTAAAGATAAAGACTTGCAGTTTTCACTACCCTGTGTCACTGTTTCGTGAAACTACCACAAACAAAAGCATTTTAGATATTTTTACGTAGAATCCATTATCCAGTGTCATAATAAAAAAAAGTTTTGGCCCATCGTTTCTGAGATTTGACCCATTTGCATTTCTTAAATGCAAAGCCTGTATATCTTAATGACATTTTTGCATTCCTCTTCCTGATTACATTGATGACTATATTTACACAATTTTGGGATGAGTTATTACCGAATGGTATCAGTTGCCTTAGTTACCATGGATACAATAATCAAATCATTGACAAAATTAAAGAACTTTAGACATCTCATTTAATTTCCTCTCAATTCTTTTACCTTACCCCCTTCAAAAAATAGCGATGAAAAGTCTCCGGTGAAACTTTTGATAAAATATTAGGAAACTAGTGGTCTGGAAATCCTCGATTACGTCTTTGCCAACAGACAAGTAATTAAAAAATAATTTTAAGGAGTTGTAATCACATTTACAATTATCTGCATCCATTGCGTCATTAATTCCATTCATCGTGATGAAATGTAGTTCTTTCACTTTGGCATATATAGATAAAGTAATGTAAATATAAACTTTTTTTAGTTTTGCTCACATCTACAAAATTATTTCTGATCAAAGTTTATTAATAATAAGGAGTTTCTTATTATCATTATTAGTGTTCCAGGAGTAAACTTTCTACCTCCTATTTTATCTTAGAAGTGACATTTTCCAGCACAGACGACATTTTTTGAGCCATTGAATGCTCGAAGGGGTGTAGATGACCGACCAAAACCAAATATGCGATGCCATTACGTGTTATTTGCTTGTTGAGTACTCGTAGGCTTTTGTTAACAATTCCAATACATAATTTCGTTGAAAACACAAACTTCTTTGCTGAACTGAATTTGACATTAGACCAAAATTCAAGAAAAAAAGTCAAAACTTCCAATTCCATTGGAATTACCCAGGGTTTCTAGTCTATAACTTTTGTTTGAGACGTCGAATCGAAAAAGTATGAATCGTTTTGGATTCTACGCACCAAAATTAATACGAAAAAGTGTAAATTTTGGTGTAGTCGATTTTTGGTAAAAAAGGAAGGTTATACACTGCCTTTTTTTCACCCGAAAAAAAATTGTCTCAGATCGTTCGGGAAAAAAATTTTCTTATAGAATGTGGCCTGTAGAATCCATAATTTCAAACAGTTCCAAGATTGGGCTACTAGATCAAAAGTTACAGCTCTTGGAAATTTCTTACGAAATTGATTTCTAGTCTATAACTTTTGATTGAGACGTCTAATAGAAAAAGTACGAATCGTTTTGGATTCTACGCACCAAAATTAATACGAAAAAGTGTAAATTTTGGTGTAGTCGATTTTTGGTAAAAAAGGAAGGTTATACACTGCCTTTTTTTTCAGCCCGAAAAAAAATTGTCTCAGGTCGACCAGGAAAAAAAAATTTCATATAGAATGTGGCCTGTAGAATCCATAATTTCAAACAGTTCCAAGATTGGGATACTAGATCAAAAGTTACAGCCCTTTGAAATTTCTTACGAAATTGGTTTCTAGCAGGGAATTACCGCAGCAAATAGAAATTGGAATTTAAATAATTACTTCTCAACAAAATTACGTATTCCTAATGAGAAATTCCATTTAATTTTTGCTGCTTTACAGTTTTATGTGGTATCCACCGCTTCATTTTGATCTTCGAAACCCAGAAAGCGATGTGATTATATCCTTCATGGTTTGAGCGCAAATGTTGATAAATTGACTATTTTTGAAATTTCGGGACAATAAACATTTTCTATCTATTGCACGGACCTAATCTTCCATTAATTTTCTTTTTACTCTTCCAGGTAGTTCTTACGGCCTGCAGAATGTAATTAGCAAGGATTCACTGGTTCTCACACTGGATGACATCGTACTGCGACCAGGTATCTCGGGCCCTGCAGAGGTTATCTTGGAATTAAATTTCACAAATTCGCAAAAGAAGTTACTACTTGGTATTCAAAGAAATCCGAATGAAGGTAAGAATTCCGCCTTATAGGTCATAATCATTAGAATAAATATAATCGAAATTTTCATGTGACCGAATCGTAAGCAGATTGACTGCCCAATTATAGGTGGCGACATCAATTTCACATTATTTATTTAATAATTGTCTGTACGACCTTGCCTATTTGTTATTTGGAAGAGAAGTTGTGATGATTACTTTTAATGGATTATTAATTCCAATCTATAAGAGAACCATACAATATTTTAGAGTCAAATTCCTATCTCACACCTGCAAGAACTAAAGTCGAGACAGGGGGAAACTTAAGCTTGAGAAACTATGGATAATTGGAAATATGCGAAGAGAAACGCCACGCAACCAAAACCCCGAACTTTTGTATTTTTCATGCGAGCCGTTATTACGGCAAGAAACGACGAGGTCTCGGACAATACTAATAGATCTCCAATAACGTTAGATTTGCCGCGCTACCGTGCACTAAAAAATGAATAAATTAATGAATTTTTGATAGATACCTACAGACCGGTAAACAAAATGCAATTTTCTACGCAATTTCCTTACTTTTTCTTCCCGTAAGAACCATAATATAACTAAATATTAGAAAACTTAAAAAAAGGATGAATGTCATTCTAAAGTTATTGCGTGACCAAGGGATATATGGGTTCATTTTTATATTACCCAGGGTAAACTTCCCAATTATTGGCACCGTCGTTTAATAAATACTTATTAACAGGTAAAAAATGAGCAAAGTTCCTGTTATTGTCACTCTTGGCCAGTTATTGGCATTCACTTTTTGCCAGTTATTGTCACTCCCCCTTGTTGCCACTTACCTTTCTCCAGTGATGGACACCGAGGAAAAATAGGTCTTCTTAGGTTATTAGGTAGATAGCAGGTAGGTAGATGTTTTACTGTAATTTTGAAACGTGGAAATAGTTAGGTAATTCTTAGGTATAAGGTAGATACATAAAAATAACAATAAAGTAATGTATACTAAATGTAGCCATTTATTTCTAAAAAAAAGGCTAATACGTATTTTTAACAATCGTACATATTTATATCATTAGAAAAAATATTTCATTTCTCTAGGGCCTAGGCATTCCTTGCATTCCATACATAAAGGACAACTGTTTTGTTCTAAGACAAGATACATGGTAACTTCGGTACCTACATGTTTTACACTTAATACCGAGTTTAACACTATTTATATTTTTAATACAGATGAAGCATACCTATGCCCTTTTTCAATACTGTTATTTTCACTAAAAGGCGAAACTATTTGTTGCTTCTTATTAGCGGCGATTGAAACAATTTCCTAACATGGGCATTATATTTGACTACTCCGGATTCGTTTGTGAAAGGAGATTCAAAAAATATATTTCCAAAATTGAAATATTGGTCGTGTATTTCCGAGTGTATTTCTTATTGTTCTCCAACTGGCTCCTGTTCTTCTAGCTCTGTAATTTTTACTGTTTCTACGTCATTTTTTTTGTCTATTTCTTGACTATAGGTTTCTTTCTGTTTTTGTTTTTATTAGTTTGCAATTTCGTTCTTGGCAATTCTATTTGTCTTTTCTGTTTTATGTTTTCCTTGTTGTTTTTCACTTTCTGATTTTATCTGAAACCGTGTTTTTTCGTTTGTTTTTCTATCCTTTCTTGTTTTCTTTTTATTTTGTGAAGTTCTCCTTGTTTCTTACACTTTTCCTTTTCTTTTATCACCTTTTTGAAGCCACTAGAAGATATTACGAAGGGTTTACGCTTAATATCTTTCTTTTCTTTGCGTTCACGAGTTTGGACGAATGTTAGAAACTTATTAATTTTGATTTTACCATTTTCTTTGTTTGGAGATCTATTTACTGCATGTTCATTATCATCTAGAACATTATCTTCTATCATTCTTATTTCCTCTATAATATTACTGCTGTCATCAAAGATAATTGGCATATCTGCTATTTCTTGCTCGGTTTATGACATAGGTATCATTGTTACTTACCATCATCGTAAAAGACTCTGAGAAAATATGTAACCGTGTGTCTTGTGGCCATCAACAAAAAGCACAATTGCAGGGAAGATGACCTTAGATTTAACCAGGCCAGGGAACAAAACATACTCAATAATGTAGGAAGGTTTCGCACTTCATCCAGCCGTTGTCTGTCACAGCTTGGGGTAATCTTTTGTTGGGATAAATAATAGTAGTTCCTGAGGCCGAAAAGGTAAACATTACAGTTAAGTTCAGTTTGGCATCCCCTTGATCGACTGCGTAAACATTCTTGGTGCCTTTTAGGGCAATAACTTTTCCTAAATCGGGACAAGGACAATAATCAAAATTGGTTTCGTCTCCATTAAATATTCCCGTGGGATCTTGCAATATATCTTCGATGCCTTTTTCTTGAAAATATTCCAAAATGTCACTGACCCATTTACGTATAGGTACCTTGTTCAGCAACATTTGCAGAAGCAGGTGTTACCGCCTCAGCTTTCCTATGTGTTAGAAGAGGATGTCTTTTGAGAAAACTCCTGTACCATTTTTTTCCAGGGAAATTATTTTTAAGTTTTTCTAGAACCTGCGTTCAATAATTATTGTACTGAGATATGAAGATTAACTTTTCTTCTTGGAAACCCTCTCATTTGGCCGTCAATGACACAGTTTTTTTATTTGAAGCTCTTCATCTTCCGTTAATTTGGTACGAGGCCCTTTGGAAGTTTTTGTAAATTTATTTCCAAACCGAAACTGCAGAATGGCCCTAGGAATTCCATTTTTAATATCGGTCGTTTTTTTGGCTGCTCCGGCTTAATGCTTTTTGGACCGCTTCTTCAGAATATCCAAGTCGCTTTTTGGTTTTTTCTTTTAATGGCATCTAAAAAAGAGATAATAGGCAAAAGGCTTGCGGTGTAATTTTCAATGTGTATTAGTGAAATTATTCCAATATATTAGTTATAGAAATTGTGTGGTTATGTGCTAACATAGGCAGTTCACCTTTTTGCTGATTTCCTATGAATAACAGTATATGGTGCTAATAATAGGAGTATTACATCTGTGGTAATACCAATCGTAGGCACCCTGATTTTACCTGAAATTATTCATTATAATGACGATGAAAGCAACACAAATTAATTCTGCATTATTATTTTAGTAAGTTTGACATTTAACTACTTCAAATGTTAGTTTATTTTTTATTTATTTATTTTTTTTATTTATTTTATTTATTTTTTTATTTTTATTACATTTATTTAACATATTCTAGAACAGTACAGTAACAAAATTGCAAGTTCTTACCTTTTTCGGTTGAGTGAACTTATTACAAAATATGAAGGAAATTAACTATAACCACATTTATTTTTATTTTGAAAATATACATTTAATAGGAATTTTATTGTTTTAAGTGATGATTCCCATCAATAAGTACAAAAATATGTTTTTTTCGAAAGTACCAACTATGGACACTATGGGTTTGGGCCCTTTTATGTTGAGTTCTTACCGTGTTAGGTTTGAGTCATCATACACAGTCACTTTCGTCGAAGATTACCACTGAACCGGAGTGCGCACCCGCAAAATGTATATAACGTGACTTTGAGCAATGTTTGACAGACCCACACAACCAATTTTGACACAGGGAACTGCCACAGAATTCTTATTTTTGGCGCAAAATGTGGATAGGTGCCGATCATTGGTTAAGTGCCAATTAAAGTCACTAGATATAGAAAGTACCGCAATCATCCGCCATTTTTGGGCAAATTTGCTGCCAACTTAAAAAAATTGACAAATAAAATCTGAATAGTTGTAATTTTTTATAACCTAACTTCATAGTGCTGTCATGTTTTATAAAATTATATACAGATATCTCCAAACAGGTGGAGCAATCCCCAAACATTAAAGTTACTAGAATCTGGTAACTTCCGCCATTTTTGGGCAAAAATCATGCGTTCTCTCTCTCTAACACACGAGCCCAATGGATTGCGGTACTTTCTATATTTAGTGACTTTAGTGCCAATAATATAGAAATTTTCTCTGAATATACTTTCACAATTTATAAATTACGTACTTACTTTGCTCTTTCAATTGTAAGCATAGTTTGACTAGTCTAGAGTTCAAACACTAGTATAAATTTTATGATTATAAACCGGGCACTTTTGTTGTCGAGATCCTTTTTTTCAGTAATAATACAACCCTCGCTTATGTGTTTTGTATACCATTTCCTTTTCCCTTTTCAAATTTATCATTACTCTGGTTTTTGATGGCTTTCAAACTCCATCGAGCATTGATTGAACGTGTCTTCTATATTTTACAGCATCAGTGAAATATGATATTGCCATGAGTATACATTTAGTACCAATTTGTTACCCTACAATTAAATTTACTTTTCGTGTCCTGCTAATAACAACAACAATGAAAATCCAGCAAGATGTGGAAAGACTGAGGACTAAAAAGACCTTACAAATTTACTACAGTTCGCTATTATAATCTAGAGCTATTAAATTTTTCATTTGTATGCCAAATGGAACATTTCACCAATTTAAAGATTAATTGTGAATGGCATTAATCGCATTCTTAACGCAGCTTTCGTAACAATATGACACCAAAAATGTCTTCATCATTATTTATTAAGGATTATTAAAAGATGCTCGTATTAAAGATTTAATGCGTGTAAACAGTATTTTAAGTGTTGAATTACACCCAACTTAGTTCGAATTGAACTATACTGCCAATCTATTATTTAATAAAGAAAAAAATACATTGAATTACGCCTAGTTGCCAGTCCTGTGGCAATTTTCTTCAGCATGCTACATTTTTAAAAATCGTTGAGTATTTTTTTCTTACATCGCACATCACGAAAATTGGTAAATATACCTTGCTATGCAACGTGATTTTTATTATTCCGGAAAACATGTGCTTCCTAATATAAATTAAATCTTACTCATCTAAGAACTATTTAAATTTAATTGCTTGAACCCTTTGTTAAAGGTCCGCATTACATACCAAATTAAATTGGCCTGTCAGTGTTACTTAAAACATTTCAAGAGGTTATGTAAATAATTATATAACTGCAGTTGATAATGTCAAAATAATTTAGAGGGGATTTATCCTAACACATAATTTGTTATTTATTTTCTTCTGCAAATTTGTTCTTCCTGCCCAAGCAATTTGTGCTATTATTTCAGCTGTCCTGGAACTGGTGAAGGATGAAGATAGAAATCGTATCGAACGATACAAAATTCCCAAGTTGGAGAAGGAATACATAAATACTCTAGTTCTGGCTATTCATCAGAATCAACCTAGTGCACATATCGATTTTTATGTTAACTGCACATACCTAGGAAAGTTTTACACCCCTCTTTCCTTAAGGGAAATACTTAAAAACGAGAAGCGTTCCAAACTGCAAGTTGTAAGTGATCGTGCTGGAATCGTGCGGCATTATCTTTTTATCTTTCTCAGTACCGCACGAAAAACTGCAATCTGGCAATTCACGATGGGGACGAACTGGGAAACATCCTGAGCCGAGAGATTTGCCAAGGATCCGCTCCGATGGGGTTAATTTTGGAAAGTCAGGACCCGCCTGTTGAAGAAATGAGTATCGGAGAACTTCAAGCTGAAGATGCCAATCGTACACCGTTTCCCGGACATTACTCGAAGGAGAGTGAGTAACGCTGCGTTTCAAACCTTGCATGAATTAGCTAAAAATATCAGGTACCGTCCTGGACGTGCTCAATGATCTGCTGAAAGCTGTGAACACGCTGAGCGTTCAAGTACGCAATCAGCACTATTCCATCAACAAACTTCAGGAGTTCATAGAAAATTGTAAATGTTGCGCTCCAGAACACTTCGAAAAGAAGACTTGCCGCAAAGATCCACCTTCATGTTTCCTAGGAGTTGAGTGTATAGACACTGATAATGGACCGACCTGTGGCCATTGTCCTTACGGTTATATGGGAAACGGCTACGAATGTATTAGGGTGCGTACTTGTAGAGACAATCCATGCTTCCTGGGGGTTACGTGCGATGACACCGAGTTTGGTTACAAATGTGGAGCCTGCCCAGTTGGGTACGAGGGTGATGGTGAACGCTGCGCTTTGATCAATGGTTGCCTTTCAAACCCTTGCTTTGGAGGTTTGTTATCATTTTATTTTTGCTCATTTCGAATTAACACGTATTAATATTGCAGCTCTAGACTGTGTCCCGACACAATCATATCCATATTACCAATGCGCGGCGTGTCCTGCAGGATATCAAGGTAACGGAACGCACTGCTATGACATCAACGAGGTAAATTCTTTGCGTCAAGGAGGAACGTACTGTAACTTGTCTTTAGTGCGAATTGGGTACTCCGTGCTATCCAGGTGTGAAGTGTACAAACCTGGAACCGGGATACAGGTGCGGGTTTTGCCCAACGGGTTACCATGGTGACGCTGTAAGTGGAGCTGGATTGGAGAATGCAATCACCAATAAGCAGCAGTGTTATGATGTCAACGAGTGCGATTTAGGAATACATAGTTGCGTCGCCAACTCTGAATGCCACAACACGATAGTAAGTCGTAGAGAATACCTAACCGAAAACGTCAATCTACTTTTAGGGCTCCTACGGTTGTGGTGCCTGTGTTAGAGGTTACGTCGGCAATCAAACCGTGGGTTGTAAATTAAATGCCGTATTCTGCTTTGATGGGTCAATGTGCAATGTCAATGCGGATTGCTATTATATTGGTCTGGGAAAATTCGGGTGTCGGTGTAAGATTGGATTTGCAGGAAATGGGATACTTTGCGCGCCGGATCGCGATTTAGACGGCTGGCCCGATTATAAGCTGGATTGTATTGACATTAGATGCAGAAAGGTACTGTTCACATTTGATCTAAAAACTTTAAGTTTGTGTGTAGGATAATTGTCCAGGGAAACCAAATTCCGGCCAAGAGGATGCAGATGGAGACGGCGTTGGTGATGCTTGCGACCATGACGCCGATAACGATGGCGTGCCAAACCTGAAGGACAATTGTCCTTTGATCGCAAATTCCGATCAAGCCGATACAGATATAGGCGCGCCTGATCGAATTGGGGATGCCTGTGATAACTGTCCAACCATACAGAATTTCGATCAGTCTGATATAGACCGAGATGGTATTGGTGACGCTTGTGACGATGACATGGACGGTGATGGAATTATTAACAGCCAAGATAACTGCCCTAGAGATGCAAATCCTAATCAAAGAGATGTAGACGGTGATGGTATAGGTGACGCTTGTGATAATTGCCCGTTTAGAAGTAACAGAGACCAGTCCGACGTCGACAGCGATTTAGTAGGGGATGTGTGCGACACGGACAAGGACAAGGACGCGTATGTCTCCTATCTAAAAGTTCACATAAAGTTAAAGCTAATTTAAGGGATGGCATCAACGACGACCAAGACAATTGCCCCATAACACCTAATAGTAATCAACTCGACACCGATAAGGATGGCAAGGGAGACGCTTGCGATCCTGACATCGACGGCGACGGAATTTTAAACGACAACGACAACTGCCCTCTCATAGCAAATCCAGGCCAAGAAGACCTAAATCGTATATCTTTCGCTCATTTAATTAACAATAACACATAGACGTTTGCTTTAGGTAATGGAGTCGGAGATGTATGTGAAAATAACGCAGATGGCGACGAACGAGAAGACCAGTTTGATAACTGTCCGAATAATTCAATGATATTTTCAACCGACTTCACCAAATTCCAAACTGTTGCACTAGATCCTGTGGGTGATGCCCAAATTGATCCCAACTGGGTCATATTTAATAAAGGCGCCGAAATTGTGCAAACTCTGAATAGCGACCCTGGCTTAGCTATCGGCCATCACAGTTTTGGAGGTGTCGATTTCGAAGGAACATTTTACATTGACACCAATAGGGATGACGATTACGTAGGATTTGTATTCGGGTACGTAAACTGCCTTGATTTGTGGGTCTTTGTAATTTGGTTAATTACAGATATCAGAGTAGCAAGCGATTCTACACGGTCATGTGGAAGAAACGTGCGCAGACTTATTGGAGACCAACACCTTTCCGTGCGGTTGCCGATCCCGGTATACAATTAAAGTTGGTCAACTCCGTCACCGGTCCAGGACAACTGCTACGAAATGCGTTGTGGCACACTGGCGACACAGAAAACCAAGTAACTTTACTTTGGAAAGATCCCAAAGACGTCGGATGGAAAGACAGGACATCGTATCGGTGGAGCTTATTGCACAGACCGCAAATTGGGTTGATTAGATTGCGAATATTCGCTGGCAGAGAAATGGTTGCCGATTCCAAAAACGTGTTTGACAAAACCATACAAGGTGGAAGACTTGGGGTGTTCTGTTTCTCTCAAAAAATGGTGATATGGTCGGATCTAGTCTATAGGTGTAATGGTAAGTACCCCATCTTGCTCACCGCCCTTTCTCACCTCAATATTTAGATCAAGTTCCACCTTCCATTTACCGCGAACTTACACCCGATCTGCAGAAGATGGTCCATGTAAGTCATACTAGATAACCAAAACTACTGGTTGATCGTTTTGTTGATATTACCTTACCATGAATGTAGAATGTTGTAGAAATAATAATTAGATAGATATTAACTGTTAGTATTAGTTTGTTATACAATTCTTATAGATTTAAATATTAGCAAAGTATTATGATGGTTTTTCTATTGAATGTATATTTTAGTGTGTAAAATAGAGCAATTTTATAAATACCTTTTTTTCGTGCCCAAAATGTGATTTATATTGAAATGCTAATGCTGCTTTAAAATGCGGCATTTGTGTAATTAAGATAAAACTCAACTAAAACCGAATTTATATGCGAAAAGGTCGAAATTCGTTGTAAAGTAGGATTCAAAATGTAAATGGGGGTTGTACCTACACGACTTCGAAGTGGAGCCACAAAGGTTCAATTATCGAGTTTCACATTAAACAAAAAAAATCTTACGAAAATAGAACACAATAGAAAGAACTTGAACGCTACGAAATTGCCAATATGGTGTTTAAATTGTCTATAGCGTGGTTAACGGAACGACATTTGTCCAAAAAGCTTTTATAATGGGAAATTTCACACTTTTATCATAACTTGCTTCAATAAAATGATTAAAAGTAACTGTTTGAGTTCTAAAAGTCTTACAGACCTACGGAAGTTAATTAAGTAGATATCTACTCAACTACAAATAGTACAATACACCTAGTTAGCAGTACGTAACACAGAACTTTAGACAAAAGGAGTCATGCTTACATCAGAACCTTTTCGTCGAATACATCTTCAAGTCGAGTCGAGAAACCTGCCTCATTGTGTATTCCTGAGGTGTGTATTGGAGCTGAAGGTGATAGTGTAATTTATCGGGTCTTTGCATTTATTGTCAAGGATTGTAACCATATTTCATGTAAATGTGCACTAATGGATCTTTTCAGTATGTTCAATATACCCTAAACTTTATTCTAAGTTTTACATTTTTAGCATAGAGCTTTGTCATTAATATGTCAAATATAGTTTTTCTTTATCGCCGTGCTTATAATTCAAAACTTTATAGGTATCAGCAGCATAGAGCTATTATAAAACTTCTGAAAATTCTGTAAGTATTTAATTTAGACCTCCAAAATAGCAAACTTACGTTCTCCCGTCGCTTCCATGGAAATAATATTGTATTCTGTTCTGAACTTCATTTTATATCGTGCTCGGCGACCCATTTTTAATAACTATGACAGATGTCACGGGAACGCACAAAAAAAAATTTAACACAGCGTTGGCCAAGGTGCACATGATAAAAATGGGAGATGCTTGCCCGTTATGATACGGTGCACTACTCACGATGGCCCAATAATTGATCTGACGTTTTTCGTTATTCTACGGCACCTGTAATAACGATGGGACACCCTGTATGTACATTTCAATTATTTCTTACGTTAAAAGTTGGTTGTAATTTGAGATTGGACACAAGATTCGATCATATCAGTTGAATTTGAGGCCAATTATGTTTTGCAACAAAATTATTAGTTATTAATTTTGATAAAATAATCACGTTGTGTTTTACTTATTTCTTCAATTTTATTAAGTGCAAAAAAACTAGATTTATTCAGTTATAGTAATTATTTCTAAAAGTTTATCTCGTGTTTTTCTCCGGTCGTTGCGATAATAAATTACGTGATCTGCAAAGGCTAATTAGTGTAAAGATATGGACGTGTTATCGCCGAAGTTTAACACGGACGCATTATTATGTCTATGGAAGGAGGAAATTAGTAAATGAAAAGGGACGGAAGGTTTTTAATAAGCGAAACGGACATTAATCGAGACTTTTTGGTGGTGGATGTTAAAACGTAGCCGTATTTGAAAAGACACCCTGTCTTATTTAATTGTGAAATTGTGTAGCAGAAACCGTGTTTAAATAATTTTTTTTACGTCGTGGTAACAGTCGACGTTAAGTCGAGTTAAGCGGAAGCGTGTTTCCAGTTAAGAGGTTTTTTCACCATCAAAGGTCCAATACTATAACTGTAATTACAACGAAGTCAGTGTCATCTAGGTCATTTAGGGACCTGCATTACCAGAAACCTACTGATGAGCAAAATGGTTCTATGGGACACTGTAACGGTAGCTTGCTTTGCAGTTTTAAATGTTTCGAATTTGTATCTCATCTAAGTATAGTGGTAGCAGTATTCGATTTTGTAAATACTTATTAGTATAGTATTCAAATCCTTTAAAGTATTCAAATACTTTGTAATTAAATACTTTTATGGAAGCAGTATTTGTATTTTTAACTCAAATACTTTCACAAACATTAAGTATTCGAATACTTCGCAAGGTATTTGAATACTTTGAGAAGTATTCGAATACTTCGCATAGTATTTGAATACTTAATCTTCCTTTTTTACCAAAAAAACTACTCCAAAATTTCTCGGGAAAACACTTTTTCTTATTAATTTTGGTGCGTAGAATCCAAAACAATTCGTACTTTTTCGATCAGACTTCTCAATCAAAAGTTAAAGACTAGAAACCAATTTCGAAAGAAAATTCAAAGGGCTGTAACTTTTGAACTAGTAGCCCAATCTTGGAACTGTTGGAAATTATGGATTCTACAGGCCACATTCTATAAGAAAATTTTTTTTCCGGGTCGATCTGAGACAATTTTTTCTTCCGGTCTCAAAAAAAGGCAATGATAACCTTCCTTTTTTACAAAAATCGACTGCACCAAAATTTCTCGGGAAAACACTTTTTCTTATTAATTTTGGTGCGTAGAATCCAAAACAATTCGTACTTTTTCGATCAGACTTCTCAATCAAAAGTTATAGACTAGAAACCAATGTCGAAAAAAAATTCAAAGGGCTGTAACTTTTGAACTAGTAGCCCAATCTTGGAACTGTTTGAAATTATGCATTCTACAGGCCACATTCTATAAGAAAATGTTTTTTCCGGGTCGATCTGAGACATTTTTTTCCGGCCTCAAAAAAAGGCAGTACTTTTAAGTTATTCAAATATTTGAGAACAATTTAGAAATGTTTAGGAAAAGTTTCCATTGTCACAAAATCAAATATAAAAATCCGATACAACTGAATACCGAACGATCCTGGAGTGAAACTTTTTGACTCGATAGTCTACGTAACTTAAAAACAATAGGGACCTTTCTTATATCCTTAAGATCATGTGTACCAATTTTCAAAGCTCGCACGTTTCTAAACAAACTATCATGCACACGGACAAACGGATGGTCAAAAATGGATCTGTTCCAAAATCGCTAGGATTAATTTCAGAAAGACGTACGTATCATGTGCACGACGCTTTGAAAACTGGTACACGTATTCTTAAGGATATAACTGGTATAAGAAAGGTCCTGGTAGGTACCTCCTATATAATAATATAATAATAATATTACGCTTTTACTCCATTTGCATATAACAATAGAAGTATAAAAAAAGCTAACCCCATACAAAGTGTGACTTGATTTTTTAAGTAGTAAGCCTTTTATCCAGTTTACTATTTTAAATTTTTAATGTATTTGAGTTACAAGTATTTGAATACTTTTACTGTATTCGAATACTTTTCAAAGTAAGTTAATGAAATACTTTTCAAAGTCTTCAAATACTTTTTATAGTATTCGAATACCTTTGATAGTATTAGAATACTTTTGAAAGAATTCGAATACATTCTAAAGTATTTGAATACTTATTTTTTAAAGTATTTGAATACTTTTCAATGCATCTGTATCTAGTATTCGCTTGTGCTGGACGTAAAAGTATTTAGTATTCAAATACCTTTGATTTGTGTAAAGTATTTACTATTTAGTATTCAAATACTTTTTGAAAGTATTCTGCCCAGCTCTGAGTGGTAGTCTAAGTATATGGCTTGTTACCTAAATAAATAGTTTTTATTGAAATTCACTCATTGTTCCTATCATAAATAAACAAAGGCATTTAAACAACGTTGATTGCTTTTATTAACTTATTTCCGGGGTCACTTACAAAAATGCAAACTAAATGTTTGCTTAATTTCTGCATACAATAGTCGATTCTCCTTCTATGAAGAACGTTATCTTGAACATTGTAATATACAATGGAATGAAACGGTGACCTTACACTAAATACAAAAGGTCTTTAGAAGAAAATCTCTTATACGATGCAATCATCTTTTATGATTTCCACTAATTCGTGATCAGCAGCATTCAATTTATCTGTTTCGGGTATTCCCTTCAGATCGTTTTTGCTTAATATATCCACGATCCTGGCGCCTAAACAGTCGCCCATCACATTAATTGTTGTTCGGAAACGATCGCTGAAAACAAGACCGTGTAGTTAGCCAAACATAATGCTTAATTAGGCTTACAGTAGCCAATCGACGGCCAAGATTAGCGATATCTGATCGGCCGGTAAACCTACTGTATCCAAAACCATAACCATCGTTACTAGACCTGCCTGGGGTATTCCGGCACCCCCGATACTAGCTGCCGTTGCAGTTAAGCTGTAAGTATAACGCAGTTAGTGTTGTTACTACATCAGTTTTTGCTTGATCATACCATACTGCTACAGTATGGCCGAATCCAAGTGGAATTGCGTTGCGTTGCGCGATAAATATAGCGGCGACGGCTTCGTAAAGCGCCGTACCATCCAGATTGCACATAGCGCCTATTGGTATCACAAAGCGAGTTACTCTTGGATCAACCCCTATATCATCTAAGGCTTGTATGCTGATTGGCATTGTCGCGGAACTTAAATTAAATTAATTGATAGCGATCGTTCCCAGGCTTTGCCAATTACCTGGATGCTGTCCCAAAGGCTGTTGCCAACGCTTGAGTGAGGCCCCCTATCGTTTTAAAAGGCAATGTCCTCGTGCAAAGGAAGTACACTACCGTTAACGTACAAAGCCCATGTATAAATAGTCCTAAGAGTACGGTGCCAAAATAAAAGCCAAGCTGAGCCAAGAGAGTTGCAAAATTGTCGATTTCCATAATTTGAGCGACTACTAAGAAGAAAACGCCAATAGGCGATAACCTTAAAATATGAATAAAAAATGAGCGCGACCGAAGCTTATTCGTTACTTACGTACCAAATAATCCATCCAGTCACAATCATCATAGCTTTACTGAGGGAGTCGAAAAAGATTACAAGAGGTGCTCCGCGTTGGCCCATTTGACCGACTGCAATTCCTATAATAATACTATATACTACCAAACCTAAGATGTTTGTGGACCTTAATTCGAGCACCTCCTCGAAATCCCAAAACGGGTATTCTGAAAAAGTCAACATATTACGCATCAATCAAACAAAGTAATTTTGACTATTAAATAAACGATATATTGGACAAATTTTTATCACTCTGAAAGTTGCATTAAATAGGGGAGATATATTTCGAACAAGGCGTATGACGGCCCCAAGTGAGAATTCAGATTAAAGAAAACACCCTTGTGTTTGTGCCGTGCGAGGGGACCCCTAATAGGCGAATGAACGGATCCTGGTAGTTGAATCTCTTGAAGTAGTACTGTACATGCACTGAATGAATGTCCCTGACGATCATCGTGGTTGTTCTCTAAACTAAAAACCCACTATAAGTCATCGTGGTTGTTGTCTGAACAAACTAGGATTCTTGTCCAAGCTAATGTCACTGGAGGGCATCGTGGTTGTCGTCTAAACTAAAACGGAAGGCGGTGGCTCACTCCTGAGCTCAAGATCACTGGAAATCAAACGTAGACGCGGTATGCCACTGAATATCAAACTTGAAGGTAACATAGAGGGCATAATTTGAAGGAGAAATAGAGTGCAGAATTGAAAGTGAAATAGAGCGAAGATTTGAAGGTGAAATATAGTAGAGATGTGAAGTTGAATTGAAGGTGAAATAGAGGGAATAATTGATGGTGAATAGAGGGCACATAACACCATGTACATAGTAGATATAGAAAAAACAACTGAAAGTTAATTGTGCGAAGCCCCACACCTAAAGGTAATGCAGGAATGCTGAATTCCTAGGCTCCGCAAGGCCGCCATCTGGGTCCCGGGGGAACGCTTGGACGTACGTGGAGAATCCCTAGGCATTGAATTTTGTTCAAATCTGCGGAATATTATTCAATGCCGCTTTAACTTGACAGGGATGCACATATTTTTACCCTTATTTAAGGTGCAGAGGGTTAAATTTATGAAATTTTGTACAAATCTGCGGAATTCTATTAAATGCCCCTTTTTTTGTTCAAATCCTGGAAATATTATATAATGCCCCTTTAACTTGGCAAGAATGCACATAATTTTACCCTTATTGAAGGTGCACAGGGTTAAATTTATGAAATTTTGTTCAAATCTGCGGAATATTATACAGTGCTCCTTTAACTTGATAGTAATGCACATATTTTTCCCTTATTAAAGGTGCACAGGGTTAAATTTATTGAATTTTGTTCAAATCTGCGGAATATTATACAGTGCTCCTCGCAGTGCTCCTTTAAGTTGATAAGAATGCACATAGTTTTACCCTTATCGCAGGTGAAAAGGGTTAAACTGAACTGAACTGAACTTGAATTTTATTCAATACTTCGAAATATTATATAATGCACCTTTTACTTGACAGGGATGCACATACTTTTACCCTTATTGAAGATGCACAGGGTTAAATATATTGAATTTTGTTTAAATCTGCGGAATATTATACAGTGCTCCTCGCAGTGCTCCTTTAAGTTGATAAGAATGCACATAGTTTTACCCTTATCGCAGGTGAAAAGGGTTAAACTGAACTGAACTGATCTTGAATTTTATTCAATACTTCGAAATATTATATAATGCACCTTTTACTTGACAGGGATGCACATACTTTTACCCTTATTGAAGATGCACAGGGTTAAATATATTGAATTTTGTTTAAATCTGCGGAATATTATACAGTGCCCCTCGCAGTGCTCCTTTAAGTTGATAAGAATGCACATAGTTTTACCCTTATCGCAGGTGAAAAGGGTTAAACTGAACTGAACTGAACTTGAATTTTATTCAATACTTCGAAATATTATATAATGCACCTTTTACTTGACAGGGATGCACATACTTTTACCCTTATTGAAGATGCACAGGGTTAAATATATTGAATTTTGTTTAAATCTGCGGAATATTATACAGTGCTCCTCGCAGTGCTCCTTTAAGTTGATAAGAATGCACATAGTTTTACCCTTATCGCAGGTGAAAAGGGTTAAACTGAACTGAACTGATCTTGAATTTTATTCAATACTTCGAAATATTATATAATGCACCTTTTACTTGACAGGGATGCACATACTTTTACCCTTATTGAAGATGCACAGGGTTAAATATATTGAATTTTGTTTAAATCTGCGGAATATTATACAGTGCCCCTCGCAGTGCTCCTTTAAGTTGATAAGAATGCACATAGTTTTACCCTTATCGCAGGTGAAAAGGGTTAAACTGAACTGAACTGAACTTGAATTTTATTCAATACTTCGAAATATTATATAATGCACCTTATACTTGACAGGGATGCACATACTTTTACCCTTATTGAAGATGCACAGGGTTAAATATATTGAATTTTGTTTAAATCTGCGGAATATTATACAGTGCTCCTCGCAGTGCTCCTTTAAGTTGATAAGAATGCACATAGTTTTACCCTTATCGCAGGTGAAAAGGGTTAAACTGAACTGAACTGAACTTGAATTTTATTCAATACTTCGAAATATTATATAATGCCCCTTTAACTTGACAGAGATGCACATAGTTTTACCGTTATTGAAAGTGTGCACAGGGTTAAATTTATTGAATTTTGTTCAAATCTGCGGAATATTATGCAGTGCTCCTTTAACTTGATAAGAATGCACATAGTTTTACCCTTATCGCAGGTGAAAGGGGTTAAATTTGTTGAATTTTATTCAATACTTCGAAATATTATATAATGCACCTTTTACTTGACAGGGATACACATACTTTTACCGTTACTGAAGGTGCACAGGGTTAAATTAATTGAAATTTGTTTAAATCATGGAAATAGTATATAATGCCCCTTTAATTTGGCAGAGATGCACATAGTTTTATCGTTATTGAAAGTGTGCACAGAGTTAAATTTATGAAATTTTGTTCAATTCTGCGGAATATTATACAGTGCTCCTTTAACTTGATAGGAATGCTCATACTTTTACCCTTATCGAAGGTGAAAAGGGTTACATTTGTTGAATTTTGTTCAATACTTTGAAATATTATATAATGCACATTTTATTGGACAGGGATGCAAATAATTTTACCCTTATTGAAGATGCACAGGGTTAAATTTATAAAATTTTGTTCAAATCTGGGGAATTTTATTCAATGCCCCTTAAACTTGACAGGGATACACATACTTTTACCCTTATTGAAGATGCGCAGGGTTAAATTAATGAAATTTTGTTCAAATCTGGGGAATTTTATTCAATACCTCTTTTACTTGACAGAGATGCACACACTTTTAGCCTTATCGAAGGTGCACAGGGTTAAATTTATGAAATTTTGTACAAATCTGCGAAATATTATTCAATACCCCTTTTACTTGACAGAGATGCACACACTTTTACCCTTATTGAAGTTGCACAGGGTTAAATTTATTGAATTCTGTTCAAATCTGCGGAATATTATATAATGCCCCTTTAACTTGTCAAGAATGCACATACTTTGACCTTTATTGAAGGTGCACAGGGTTAAATTTATAGAATTTTGCTCAAATCTGCGGAATATTATTCAATGCCCCTTTAACTTGACAGGAATGCACATACTTTTACCCTTATTGTAGGTGCACAGGGTTAAATTTATGAAACTTTGTACAAATCTGCGGAATATTATTCAATACCCCTTTTACTTAACAGAGATGCACATACTTTTACCATTATTGAAGGTGCACAGGGTTAAATTTATGAAATCCTGTACAAATCTGCGGAATATTATTCAATGCCCTTTCAACTTGACAGGATGTACATACTTTTACCATTATTGAAGGTGCACAGGGTTAAATTTATGAAATTTTGTTCAAATCTGCAGAATAATATTCAGTACTCATTTAACTTGAAAGGAAAACACATATTTTTACCCTTATTGAAGGTGCACAGGGTTAAATTTATAGAATTTTGTTCAAATCTGCGGAATATTATACAGTGCTCCTTTAACTTGATAGGAATGCACCTCGGAATGCACATACTTTTACCCTTATCGCAGGTGAAAAGGGTTAAATTTGTTGAATTTTATTCAATACTTCGAAATATTATATAATGCACGTTTTGCTTGACAGGGATGCACATACTTTTACCGTTACTGAAGGTACACAGGGTTAAATTTATAGAATTTTGTTTAAATCATGGAAATAGTATATAATGCCCCTTTAATTTGACAGAGATGCACATACTTTTATCGCTATTGGAGGTGCACAGGGTTAAATTTCTTGAAATTTTGTTCAAATCTGTGGGATATTATTCAGTGCCCTTTATTTTGACAGGAATACACATACTTTTACCCTTATTGAAGGTACACAGGGTTAAATTTATAGAATTTTGTTTAATCATGGAAATAGAATATAATGCCCCTTTAACTTGACAGGAATGCACATACTTTTACCCTTATCGAAGGTGAAAAGGGTTAAGTTTATAGAAATTTAAGGTCTATGTACGCGTGGACCCTGTCCACTCTCCTATCGTAGTTCAGAATCCAGTAATATGCAAGATAAGTCAAATGTAGGTATAACTCTAAAGGTTACTGATGAACTCGAGAATGAAGTACATACTAATACTAATACTAAGGAGAAAAAACTAATATTGACAACAATATTTTTTTGAAAGTGATTGTTAACGCGTTTGAATAAAATGAAGAAGATGTGAAATTCATTAGGAAAAACGAAACACAGGATAGCGATCGCAGCAAATTTACTATCAGATAACATAAACATTTAAAAATGTCTTAATTTTGCAGCAACCCTTTGACTTGCGCTGATTTATAATATATTGCATAAGAGGATATGCTATACTAAAATTTACCTTTAACATAAGATCGAAATAAACATATAAAAGAAACAATTTGTGGCAAATGTTGCGAAACAAAATCCGAATGGGCTACGCTTTGTCAATAATCCGTCCAATTCAGTTTTCTTGGTATATAACTTTGTGGAAAGTAGCATTCCATTCGTTTAAATCGAACGAAATGGGAAACACACGAGGAACTACAAACAGCAAAATCTCCAAATTGCATTTAAGGGATTTTAGCCCCAATAAGACCTAATATATATAAGAAACATTTTCATTGCCCTTTTCAGCAATGTCACATTTAAGTCTATTCAACAGGAAAGGAAACCTCGGAAAATGCAGACCTTTATTTGAAATAAGCCCCATACACACTTCAAAATAGTTTGGTGTTACTTTAAATTATAAATACTTTACACTTTATTATTGCACCTCTTTTGGATTATACAATTTGAAAGTGTATTTAATTTACTCACATGTAACTGTTTACGTTAAACAAAATTAATTAAGCAATTTTGGCGTTGCATAACTGTTTGCGTAAAATTACGAGAGTGACTGAGAAAAGCAGCGGTACATTGTCCAAGGATGATTTATCCGTTCAATTGAAATTACCGATTAAAAAAGACTGAAGATTACAGGAATATGAATAAACAAACACCCATACACACCCACCTACCTTAATAAATATGAAAACTTAAGAAACCATCCCTGTAAATGTTTTAAAAGTGTATGTTTGGAAATACTGAAGTAGGAAATTATGATTCAAAAGTATTTGATCGGGACAGACGGAACCTTTGCAATTTTATTGTGGACTTACCGTCTCTTAAATTGTAAGTATCATTCTTAAATCTTGGGTTTTCTTCATGCTCCTTTGGAACTTTTATGTGAATGTGTGTCTAAAACATCATACTATTAGCACCCACTTCGTCTCAAATTTAACGAACCTGTCCAACAGTTGCTTCGATAATATTGGGCGGAAACATATTTCTGCAAAACAATCATCAGCCAACCGAGAGCTTGGCAGATTCTACTAACCTGCCCAAGTCCATAAGCGTGTCAGCGGTCAAAACAATTTTTGCGTCCACCTTCTTTTTTTGAGCAGACCTTTCAATACCTACGCCCGGTCTGATTGTCGTAACTAAAACAATTCCCAACACCACCGCGCAAAAAGTGGTAACGGTATAGTAAATGATAGACCGTGCGGCTATCTTTTTGGACAAACTTAAATCAAGGGATCCAATCGCCGACACTATGGATGACGTGAGTAAGGGGATAATTAGGGATTTCAAAACACGGAGAAACAAATCGCCCGGGTACTTTACGTACATGATTTCTCTTTTGGTCCATTCTCTAGAACGGAATTGATTAAGAACTAATCCGGTTACCGTTCCGCCTATTACGCCAATTACAGTCAAAAGTGTTAGAAGGCTGTGTCGGTTCAAGCATCTCATCCTCGACTGTGCCATGGTTGTACAGTTATCTGAAACAAAAAAGTTCCAAACTAAAAAAGCTGTGCAAACATCTCTTACATATGCGCCCTGGTTAAACGCACTAATGATCACTTGTACTTTCATTATCTGTCTTAGACATCCAAGAATAGCTTTCATGTGTTAAAAAATATGTCAATGAAGGCGTCATAACAACATGACTTTGATAAAAAGATGAACTCTCAATTCTTCGTAAATGGTTTAACATCGTACGATTTCCAGGAGCTACTGATTAGAAATGTCGGTTGTCGTGATACCAGATGAACACGTGGTACAATTAATTGTTACATAGTTCAATGATTGCGGTTTGTCCTTGGGGTGATATAACGAATTCATCCATTCTTAGAATTATAATAAATACTAAAAAAGTTAGTTTACATTTCGCATTAATTGAATGTGTAACATTCCATTGAAATGACGCACTTACTTTGACCAAATATCAAATACGTAGTTTCATATTGCACATACCAAAGGGGTCAAGTGCCAACTTAAACTGAAACAATAACGTGTTTATAAAACCCATCCACTCATCAAGCGGAGCTTTTTACACACGATAGAATCTGTAACGCAATAGCATCCCCGAAAAAGCATCTTTATCATCGTATAAGTGAATACCACTTTCGACGTTGGCATCTAGAGCAAAAAAAACACAATGGAAGAAGGCGGCCCGAGTGTACTTAACGACCCTAACATACTAAATTATAATCTCATACATATCGAGCAATTACCAAAACCAAGAGAAATTTATTACGAGCTTCTGTTCCAATTAAAACGAGTCATTTTGTATTGAGACTAAAAAAATCGTAAAATACGCCATCTTTAGTTCTGGTTAGCGTTCCAACACAAGTTATGGATCCTTACCGATTGAAAATTTCGATTCGTATTCTTATTTAAATTCTTTTCGCTCGTCGTGTATATTTAGTATTCCTTATGCCATCTAGGCATCTTTTTTTGTAATCCTCAGTTTAAAGTTTTGTAATAGAGTTTATTTTCGAGTTTTCTTTCACATAATTATTTGTTTTGCCGGCCGAGGTCGCGCTGTATCTCCCTGCTTGCGCATAGTTGTATTTATTTTCCCCTTTAGTGAAGTTTCTACCTTCGACCTGATTAGATACAGATTTTGTTTTGATACGCCTTTACCTTCCTGACTACGTGTCATAACTATGAAAACGGATTAGTGTTTTGACTGTGCTAGGTATAAATTATTTGTTTAAATAATTCCATTATACCATAACTATTATAAGGAGATGCATATCTAAATGTTCGAATATTTTGCGTATTTTTTTTTTTCGTATATAGGAAGTCATTTCTGCTGTGGTTATTGTCTTGGAGATCCATTAAGCAAACAATCGTAAAAAAAGGCCAAAGAGGTCGTTTTAACTGGAATGCATTGTATAGTGTAACAAGTTCCACAAAAAATGGGAGGTGGTGCATAAATCGGCACAAAACAAATCGTTTCAGATAAAAATTGTTACTTTTGACTTACCAAGTGTGGGAGTAAGCGCACTCAACGAGCACAATATTATTGGTGATGCAAAATTGAACGACGAACAATGTCAGGTGGCACCAGAGTAAAAATGATGTACACTGTTAATCTAGATGCACAAAAAGTTGGAGATGGCACACAAAACTTAATGCGCGTCTGCAACGGATAATGAAGTGGTTCGTTTTAAATCGTTATAAATTACTGTACTTCTCATATCACAAACAAAATTGTTTTCAAAATGCTTCTCTATTTCATATTTTAGATTGCACCATAGTACGATTTACTTAAAAGTCGGTATTTGCATATGATTACCTTGTTTAGTTATACGTTGTAAAGAGAGATATACCTCAGTCTTGCTTATACAAACAAACAATTGAAAAATGCATACATTGTACGTAAAATCTGCGCAACACTATTTTGTAATAAACTTGTAACAAATATAGCAAACGGTCTCTGGGTAACAGAACATTTAATAAGTTCTTCCTGGGGTGATGATAAACAAAATACTGGAAACAGAATTGAAAAATTCGAAACCGTTCGGGAGTCCACAGACGGACGGACGGACACAAAATTCAAAATCATGAACTCGCTAGGAGATCGTTAATAAGCCCTTCCTTCTTTTGATTGCTCTTGAATAGCTTTTGAATCTCCTTTCACCTTTCACTGTCTTTGTCAACTATGATTCCCAAGTCAAAATGAGGTCCGTGAGTAGAATCCTAACCCCTTAAGTCTCTAAACTTACCCACTGTATCGACACTAAGAGAATCGTTAAGGATATTTTAATCACTGCCACAAAATCTCCACGGAAAATGTATCGGGAAATGAATCATACAACGCAAAAAGAATTGTGTAATCTTCTGAGTAATTAAAACTTGAAATAAAACAATTTTATGAACTAGTTACTGAGCTATAAAGTTCTTTTTTTATAAAGAGGAACGTAGAAAAGTAAACAACTTTGCTTTGCTTCCATGAAACATGAATTACACAAACTTTGTTATCAGACAAACTATCACCTTTATTTTCTTAGAATGCCTCTCTGCTTAAATGCATGTATGTGTATGTGAGAAGTTGAATTGGAAGAGGGATCCGCAGGCTGAGATATTAAACATAAAGGAAAGAGCCGAGTTATAAACGAAAAGTCAGGAGAAATGGAAGAGAGGTTGGATGGATTCGCAGAATGCGGAATTAAAGGAGAAGAAGGTAGCAGCAAGAGATTGGAATTCAGAAAGTGAAGTTAAGGAAGAAGTCGAAATTGAAGAAGTTTATAGGCAAGTTGAGGAAGAAGTCGAAATTGAAGAAGTTTATAGGCAAGTTGAGAACTATGAGAATGAAGAGCGCAGAAAAAAGAAGATAAAGGGATTTTAGTAGTGAAAGGAGTTGAGTTATTAGTCGTTCTATTGCAGGAATCCGGAGTTGAAGTTAAAATTGTATCGTGTGAATGATTGAAAATAGGAAGTGAAGGTTTGTAGGGTGAGTAGGCTCAAAAAACCAGACTTCGTTTAGTTTTTTTAATTGGTAAAATTGGTAAAAAATAAAATTTAAAAAAATAAAAAAAAACTTAAAAAAAACTAAACGAAGTCTGGTTTTTTGAGCCTACTCACCCTACAAACCTTCACTTTAACACCACGCAAGGCCGAAAGAAAAGAACCTTTTTAATCATTGAGAATAGGGATTTGAATTATTTAATGATTATAGCGTCTTGCGGATGATGGAATTTGTTGTAGGGATAGAATTTGTTTGAAAGTAGGTACATGAAAGGGAAAGTAGCTTAATTATGGTTTTATGAAGGAAAGGAATAAAGGAGGAGGAGTTATTAGATTTTATAAACCGAACAAGAGAAATTTTTGTAGTAAAAGGGAGGTGGGAGATTTAAATTTGGATTTGGCGATTTTGAATAAAGGTCGAATCCGAGTTCGGGCGTGGAGATTTGTGTTAAAAATAAATGGTCACTGCAGTAATACTCACTCATAAGTGAAGATCTTTTAACCACTGTAACAAAAAATACTGCCAAATGTTGTGTTGACGCGGCTATAAAAGGCAACCCAAAAGGGCGAAAGAACATTCTAGTCACGTTCTTTAACTGGCCCGATTCTCTGTAGAGTTACGTAACCTACCTACCCGAGGAACGACGACACCGCAGGCTACTGGTAGAAAATGCATTTTATTCTCTACGCCACTGGGAAAAATTTTAATGTAACAACTAAATGTTTGTAATGAAATAAGTAATACCACGGCTAGCTCAGTAATGAATAAACTTTTAACGATTCTTACCCTGCGGAAGATTCGATCTCCACTTTAAATTTGGAAAGTAAAACCTGATGATGCTCTGGTTTCGACGAGAGTTTCGGTCACTCTAAAATAATGCTTATGTAATATTATTATTATTATTATTATTGTATAACCGGTTACCCGCAGATATAAAGCATTTACCGTTGAAGACCTTTAAATCTAAAGTAAAGCAAAGTCTTTTACAGTATTCTTGTTACTCCTTTGAAGAATTTGAGGAGTTTTGTGATAATTGGGTGTAACTTTGTTGAAGTTTATGTTTGTTAGTTTCGTTTGTCTGACTGTTTGTTTTACGTGTTATATACATTTTTTTACCATAACAAGTGTAAGTGTACCATCACAACAGCACAATAAATATTATTATTATTGTCGGTGTTTCTTGTGAGAACTCAGGTCTAGCCTGGTTAACTAATCGCACGGATTAAAATCAAGTAACGATTAGTGTCTGTGTCTGTGTCTGGTGAAGTTATGTAGGGTCCTAAAAAAAAAAAAAAAAAAATCACACATGGGCACAATAAGCCAACGCTATCAGGAAAGAGGAAAACAAAACAAAACAAAAATCATTATAATAATTCCTGTAATTTTATTAAATGGAGTTTATTGTGTAAGTGTTTCTTTGGCTTTGCGTTTGGGTTGAATACGAGTGGGTTGTGATAACGTGGTGTTCTTCGGTGAGGATGGAGTTTTGTGTTTTTAACTGTGCTAGGACGTGTAACTTTATTGGGTGGACCTGTCTTTGTGGTACATGTTGCCTTACTTGTATTTATGGTGTTTCTTTGTTCTTGAGGTTGTATTTGTGTTATTGCTTGGGTTATTGGTGGAGGTATTACTGTATTTTGTGAGCTAGTAGTGCTGTTTAGGTTTTTGCGTTTGGGTTGAGTACGAGTGGGTTGAGTACGAGTGGGTTGTGATAACGTGGTGTGTTTCTGTGAAGAAGGAGTTATGTGTTTTTTAACTGTGCTAGGGCGTGTAACTTTATTGGGTGGACCTGTCTTTGTAGTGCATGTTGCGTTACTTGTATTTATGGTGTTTCTTTGTTCTTGAGGTTGTATCTGTGTTGTTGCTTGGGTTATTGGTGGAGACATTACAGTATTTTGTGAGCCTGTAGTGCTTTTAAGGTTGTTGCGTTTCGGTTGAATACGAGTGGGTTGTTTCTGAGAAAGAGGAGTATTGTGTTTTTTAACTGTGCTAAGACGTGTAATTTTATTGGGTGGACCTGTTTTTGTAGTGCATGTTGCGTTACTTGTACATTTATTGTGTTTCTTTGTTCTTGAGGTTGTATTTGTGTGGTTGCTTGGGTTATTCGTGGAGATATTACAGTATTTTGTGAGCTAGTAGTGCTGTTTAGGTTTTTGCGTTTAGGTTGTATACGAGTGGGTTGTGATAACGTGGTGTGTTTCTGTGAAGAATGAGTTTTATGTTTTTTAACTGTGCTAAGACGTGTAACTTTATTGGGTGGACCTGTCTTTGTAGTGCATGTTGCGTTACTTGTATTTCTTGTGTTTCTTTGTTCTTGAGGTTGTATTTGTGTGGTTGCTTGGGTTATTGGTGGAGACGTTACAGTATTTTGTGAGCCTGTAGTGCTGTTAAGGTTGTTGCGTTTGGGTTGAGTACGAGTGGGTTATGATAACGTGGTGTGTTTCTGAGAAGAAAGAGTATTGTGTTTTTTAGCTGTGCTAGGCCGTGTAACTTTATTATTATTATTATTATTATTATTATTATTAAATTAAAATTGCAAATCTATCTCGTGATCACGTTCAAATCTAATTATCTAGATTTTTTACCATTTGTAATTACTCCAACACCCGATACATTTTCTTATTCAAAAACAAAAAAAAACAGAAAAAATGGTATCAATGAATTTAAAATTCACAATCAATCAAGAGAAATCATCAAGATCTTTGGTTATTTGTATTTGCTTATCATTCATAAAATACATACAAATTTGTTCAAGGAATAAAACTCCCGTGGGTCGATCTCTTCAGGAAAGCTAAATTGACTTTTAGTGTAAATCTTTTATGCAAATTCCACAAAACTATCAATAATTTAAAATTGTCTCCCATTGACTAGTTTCTCTTATTTTGAAAGCTAACCGAAATTCAGAAAAGAGTGCAATCGGACCTTTTCTATCGCCTAGTAAAAAAGTAATGTAAAAAAATTACCCTTATAACTTAGGGTTTAACCTTAAGCAATCTTGGTTGCTTTCTTTTTTTTATTGATAACAGATCCCGTTTCTTCGAATTTAGCGACCAAATGTTGAACATAGGCATGTCTTATATTTCTCTCGGGATGTCTCTCATTAAACGTTCTAGCTGTTCTAAAAGATAATCGATTTTCGGAGTCATAAATGAATATTATTTCCACACGTTCAGCTGTACTGTAAGTCAATGAAAAAAGAAAGCAACCAAGATTGCTTAATGAAGCAGCTCAGATTGAAGTTTTTGGCCAATTTGCCATAAATCCCTCAAATTCAGCATTTAGTCTGTCGATTATTAAATTTTTGTTTAATTGTCTTAATGAATATTGACTTTATTGGTATCACTGGAAAGCATTTTTCAGTAGCTTTCCAACGATGTGTCACAAGTATGGGGTTGCCATTTAGGATTTTTGAAGAGGGGGTGAGCTGGGGGGTTAAGGGGGGTGGGGGTTGTCACTCATAACGTCATTCTGGTTCCCTCTCGATACCCCCGAAACGATTTTACGCGATTTTCAATATATTCTTTAGTTTGGAAAATATGGCCGACTGTAAGTTTTAAAATTGACACCCTGTATAATCCTTAGCTTATGGCAATTTTTGAAAAATGGTTTCGGTTTCTTCCTTCATTTACTCCAAATTGGAAAAGTTCATTAAACACATCTTTAAAAGAAAACATAGTGTCTTTGGCTCGCTTTTCGGTCTTTGAACTATCCTGCTCTGAGAAATCTAAAGGGTCAAAATATTTAACAATGCACAGGAATTAATAACAATGCGTAAGCCTCCACATTTATCTTTTTTAATAACATACTGCTTAGAGCCACTTTTGCCTGGTATGGACTGCATGTCTGCTTTAGTCGTAACTAGTTTTAATTAGGTAAGTACCAAAATTTTGTTAATTAGACGAAGTTTCAAAAACCAAAAATGTACTTTTCTTTGAATTCAATCACAATTTTATTTGCACATTACGGCATGGCATAGGTATATTTGCACGGGTGATTGATCGTTTATCACTATTTGATACCTTAGGCATACTGACAACTACTGTGGCTTACGAAAGAGTAAAGCTCAAGTAAAACTGTAAATATGTACCTAACTGCAAATATAAAAACCAGACAACCGCGTGCTACGTTGGTTAATGAGTAGGTACTATAAATACTAAAATAATTCAAGGTTGTAGTATGTACCTGGTCAATTCGCATGAATATGGTTAGATAATAACACCTACGTCCGTTCATCAGAATTATTGTGCTTTTCATTTATTATGCTACCTGTAATTTTAGTTTTTGAATGGTAAATTTCGCACGGAGAACGCACCTGTAGATGTATTCCAGTAGGTGGATTTCAGTAAGTATATTGAAAGATCATTCAACTCTAAAAGGAATTCAAAGTCAAAGATTACTAGTATCTATAACAAACGTTAAAGTAACGGAAACATGATTTAAAAAAATATTACAAACTGGGTATTTTAGTTTCACAAGAAGGCAATTTGAATATGTAAATTGTTAACGTCATACTATTCAAACTACTCTAAAGTTAATTCTTCGTGCGTATTTTGAGCTTGATTATTCCATTATAAATAATTTGTAATTTTGCTTACACGTGCTCGACACTTCCAAAAATTAACAACTAACATAAAAACTTTCACTCAACACTAACAAAAACTTCACAAAAAAATGCATTCATTAATAAAATTCAACTGACCTTATGTAAGCACCTCTAAAAAAGTCAGCACGCACCTCCGTAATGTATTAAACACAGAGAACGACACCCGCAATTTTTCACCTGTTGAATGCTTCCACTATATCCAGTTTTTTCGTCGTACAGACTACTCCCCAGCACGGACTTTGAGTGAATAAAATGTGACTGTGAATTCCGAACACAGTATTAATTAAAAACTTGGTCTATTCATCTTATGCAGATTACGTTTAAATTAACTTTAAATGACAACAGAAAAAAACATGTATATCACTTAGAAGCCGCAGATATTTTTAAGCGGTTACATCAGCGACACAATAAAACAAAATGCCGCAGAAACTTGCAAAATATAGATAAGATTTTTTAATACATGTCAACTTTTACCGTTTGTTTATTTATTTTTGAGATATCGCGATGTTATCGCCCTACTGTAAACCCTAAACCACTTTGAACTATGCTTATCCAAAAATAGACCAACTTATTATCATTCCTTTTCTCTTTGCCGCACAAATATGTAGTTAGAGTGGGAATGATTCCATTAAAATTCTAGCAAGCTACTCCAAGTAAAATTATTAGTCTTGCTTCAGACCCAGTGTTACCCAGCCAACTGCTCTAAATTTCGAAATAACGAATGAAATGTCACTTTCTCTTTAATCGCAAACTTTGTAACGATAAGATAACCTCGATTAATCGCAATCGGTAACCCTTCCAGTTTAATTGGGGGTGTGGATCAATATCCAACGTGCAACTCAGTAAATTCGCAAAGCGGGTTAATTTAAAGTCGCTCTAACGGTCTAAAATTCCACTAGAAACATTGAACACCACTAAAATATCACTCAATACCAACCTACAACTCTTTAATTATGCGTAAGTATGATATGAGCATTAGGCGTATAATAGCCCCATCAGCCTCAGCTCCTTCCTGTCGAAGGGGACAGAAAAAGACCAATTTCTAAGAAGCGAGGTACCTACCTAACAAACCATCCGGTCGCTTCACCCCCAACAACACGCCTATAAAAAGGGAAATCGACAATCGCGGTCCTACATACTTTTAACAGACAAACTTGCAAAGGTCCGCATGTCAAAAGAGATAGCTCTAACCGGATGTAGAGGGCTTTCGACAACACCGTACCTCGCATGAAGACATGAAGCGGCTGCTGGAAACAAAGGCCTCGGCTCCAGACCAATAACAGAATGGATAAAGACAAGGAAGAAAACAGCAAGGCGAGGAGTCAGTCACATTGATGACCAAAATAGGGTACCCTCGAGGGGGGGGGGTACTATCGCCCTTGCTATGATCATCAGAACAGGGATAATAAATAAATAAATGTTCTATGCAGTAGGAAACAGACGGTTAAAAAAAAACGGTAAAACATGGATATGTATCAGCGACCCAAACTTCCAAACCTGGGAATCCGTGGGATGAAAACCACCGTCTTTCAAGCAGAGGTCTATACCATAAACCTCTGTACCGTCATGAATATAGAAATGGGTAAAAAGGGGGCAAAAATAGATTTTCTCACAAACAGTCAAGCTGTAATGAAGGTGTTAGTAGCCGGTACCTACCTGACACTCCAAATTAGTCCGGCAGTGCATCTAGAATCTAATGGCATTGGTATATACTATGGTGGGTGCCAGAGCATTCGGAAATTGCAAGCAACATGAAATCAGATGAACTGGCCAAACAAGGAGCCAGGCTGTAACGAAGCCCCCATTTTTCTCCCCGAAGTTATGACGGCACCGTACATTTGTGAAGTCTTGATTTGCTGAACACCCGGTATCTAGAAGCGTTTAGGCTTAGCGCTTCGTTACTGAAGAGTTCCGAAATTTAATTATTTGCTCGAGATAAGGTTGTATGTGTTTACATTTTGTGTATTGTTTATTTTACCGCCGCTAAGTACGTAAATTTTATCAGTTCTTTCCCTGGTTCTTTCCGAGGTTTTTTCCACTGAACTATAATTATATATAATTAATTAATATAATAAATATAAAAAACCACTCTGAACTATAATTATATAATTATAGTTCAGAGTGTTTTTTTCCAACCCTTTCGGTAGGAATAATTAAATTATTCTTACAAAAAGGGAGTCAATTAATATTTTGATATTTCAGCGCCGTTAATTAATTGTTAAGGATTTTAGATTCCCATAATAAGTGAAAACTGGTATAGAAACAAATTTTGCAGTCCAGACCATTTGCCTGCAAGTGGCGATATCGCCGGTTGAAATAAAAATTCCAATTAGGCTAGGTATTCATTGGATTGTTATCTCAAAATAACCGCGCTTAAAAGACGAGTAGTTCGATGTCCAACTTATATTTTTCCGATAATTACAAGCCGAGTAATTCAGCAAAAACGGAATTTGCATCGCTAACGGAGCGAATGCAGTGAGGATCTGGAATTTACATGTTCCACTTCCTCCAAATTGGGCTGTCTTTATAAGGCAAACGCTCAATTTTGGAGGGATCTTTTGCATTTTGTAATTGCCGAAGTTATCTTTCGCATTTTACTTGCCGTAAGTGTCTTTTGCCTCTTTACCGCCACTAGTAAGTTTTGGAAGTACTGCCATTTTTCATAATTTTCTTTGAAATTAATTTCACCGTATCACTTTTGAGCCTTAAGTTACCAGTAAATTCTCTTTCAGTAATTTTTTTACCGCCTAATTAATTCTCAAGGTAAGCTTTTATTTAATTACAAAAGGGGGGGGGGGGAATTTTCCATATGTTTTCCCGAAATTGTCTGAAATAAAAACCGCTTGTAACTGTGCCTAATTGCTTTTCTTCCGCTAGGAAATTTTCCGGTTGGGCTTTCACTTTGTTTTTGGTTTACCGAAGTGACCGCCGCCATTTGCTGGATTCGATCGCTGAATTCCTGGATCTCTGACTGAGTTCACCCCATAGGCAACCGAGACCAACCCGAAACCGTTGATACCGCCGACCTGGGTATAGAAATTACATAATAATTTGTATACCTCATTAAAACCACGCTACAAAAAGCTAAGGAAGCTTCAGCCGCCAACAGAAAAGACTTACGATCCCATTACAGGGCTGTTCATAGTCATACCCCTTACATAAATGTCGCAGCGGCGGCCTCTGGTATTTAGGTGTCTGTTTGGTGGTATTTTGACCGCTTATCGTTTTGCACAGGAATGTAGAACTAATTTTCCACACAATCTGTAATTGTTAGATGACCAGAAAGGTAGCAGCACAGATTTAAATGGTAGCAGTTTCTACAGAAGAATTTAACAATGAAAGTTCTACACTTTTGGAGATGAAATTAATGAAACAAGTCATTTATAATATTGAGCAGTGCCCTTTAAGTTGTATATAAAATGTCAAATGTGTTAGATGGACTTTCTAAAGTTATTGCAATGAATGCAATGCAAAACTGTATGGAAAAGCTCCGCTTGAACTCACAAGAAACGCCCATTTGTTTTAATTTAATATGATGACAAACGTTCATGTTTAAAATCATTTTTAAGTTTAAGAGGCGATTGAAAGGGGGAAAAGGAAATCTCATAAGGTTTGACAGATGATTTAGTACTCATTAATTGCCGTAGGCAGGAAATTGAAAAATCGAGTCCCTTATTTCCTCGATGTATTGAAAGCTCAAGGATTTAAAATAAAACAGCAATTCCCGTACACATGTTAAATTTGGAATATGAAGTCCGATGCATTACCTACATAAAGTAAAGTTTTTTATTCTATGTATTGAACTCGAATTCTAATATATCATCAGTATTTTCGATACCTTTTATAGTTGCCAGTATGATCAAATCGGTTTTTCAAGTGAAAATCAGCGAATGAGAATGATGAAAAGGGGGATGCATGCTTAAAAGTATCTGACACTTTTGATTATTTTTCAATATTTATATGGCCTTTTAGCTCGCCTTTTAGTGTTGTTCTTTTGCCAGAAGAGAGAAATTTTCTGCTGGATAATGTTCAGATTAGAAATGACTAATCCCGCAAAAAACTATAAAGGAGATACGGTTTTGGTAAAAAAAGAATAAAGCTAGCCGTCGGAATTTGATTGTCTTTATTGCAATACAGTTTTAAGTTGTAATTCACATTTTTATTAGACAAAGGGAAGTTTCCCAGCTCCTAAGCTTAGTAGTGTAAGTAGTGTAACTAGCATATCTTCGTAACGGTTATACTGAAGTTCTCTAACCTGTTCTGGGGAGAAATTAATTGGTTTTTATGAGAATATTAAGTTATTACCTTGTTTATGAATATGAATGTTTACAGACTGAAAAAGAACATTCCAAAATTAGTAACTCAGTAAATCGAGTTTGTTTTTCATTCACATCAGAGGTAGGTCAAATAACTTCAACTGGTCAAATGAGGTTAAAATTAGTGGTGGAATGTAAGTCACATTCAAAGATTCTTCGTATTTTTCTAATGTTTCTTACGTAACATTTTTTATGTTTAGTTTTTTTTTGTACCGGCCGTGAGCAACACTGTTGTTTAGGTTTAGTTAGTATTTTTCTATTGTTTCGAATTTTTTTCATGGTATGTTTATTTTTATTGAATTGTCATTAAAATTAATTATGTGTTTCGCGTATGACGCTTTTACAAACAATTTTTAATTAATATTACTTATTAGTAATGAATAAATTGCACATCAATCATTTTCAGAGAAATTATAGACTCGAAACAGTCACAATTTGAAAGATTCTTTTCGCGGCACTGTCAAATCTCGGTAGCAATCGACTCGGACGGAATGGAACGAATAGAACTCCTACGTTATGTATATACTATGGCGGTTCTTATATTATATATTATATTATTATAGTACGCATGCAACGGTCTCAAATTGCACAATAAAAAGTCAGGTATCCGGTCAAATGCAGTTAAAAAAATAAAAAAAAAATAAACACAAACCATATAAATGTAAAGAGAAACCAAGAGATATCAATTTAGTAAAAATACTGTTGTGGGGCGCTCCTTAGGTTGGAATAATGCCCAAGGTATGGTGTAGCGATTCTTCAAGGATACGAAACAGGATTGACCAGCTAGTTAGGAAAGAGCTAGGTCTCTCAGTGAAACAATCCTGAGCGAATGCATGGTCGCCAACCAGACCTGCCCAAATGAAACCAAAAATAAAACAAAAAGGAAGGACCACACGAGTTTGCAAAGCTCTGGCACTAGGGGGTTCTAACTTCTCTTTTGAATAATCGATAGCTACCATATATAACTATTTACGTTCAATAACAAAATATTAAAGCAACCAATTCCGTATTTAAGTAATATCAATATTATAACATTACAAGTACAAAACAATAACCAGAACAACTTTTCCTGTAATACCTTGTTTCGAGAGAACCAATATAGTAACGGAATTA